TTCACCAACACCCTCATGGTCAAGTTGGTGATTAACTCCCTGAGTCTACTAGTATCTGCTTCACCTCGAAGTCATTAATCACCAACTTGACCATGAGGGTGTCATCATGCGGATACTGAATCCCACTTGCATCATCCTTGGTAAAATAAATTGCCTCCTCCACTCGAGGTCGGTTTGGCAGGTTCTCATCTTCGTGCTCGAGCTCCCAAACTGACATCTTTCCCATTTTTGTGCTGCACCCCACAACGATTGACCCACCAGTGATCATATTGATCACCCCGTGGATCGGCCTATCCTCTGGTGGCATTGGTTGCCGAGGTGGTTGCTGGTCATTCCTTATACTCGGCTCGGGAGCTTCTCTTTGCTGGTTGGCTTTTCGGTCCGCTACCTCCCTGTCCTCATGTTTAATGAACTGCTTTAGATATCCACGGCGGATCAGCTCTTCAATCTCGTCCTTGAGGTTGCAACAACCTTCCGAACTGTGCCCAAAGTCGCGGTGGAAGTGACAGTACACATTAGGGTTTCTGGTTGTCGAGTCTCCTCGCATCTTGGGCAGCCACTTGACGTAGCCAGTATCCTTGATTGCCATCATAATTTCACCCCATTTTGCATTGAGGGGGGTGTAGCTAGACCTTTGGATTGGAGAGGTCCTAGATCGCCGACCTGATCTAGAACCCCGAGGTGGTGACTTCTTCGGAGATTTGCTTCGCTTGTGCGGGGACTTGCTTCTCTTTGGTGACTTGCTCTTCTGTCGCCGGTGCTTGTTGCTGCTAGTGCCTTCATCTCCTCTCTTTCTCTTCTCGCCTTGCTAGAGCTCTAACTTGGACCTGAGAGCTTCTTCCGCCTAGATGAACTTGTTAGTGTCATCGGGGAACTTCTCCATTGTCTTTGAAGGGTTCAACCCGAGATGCCAAGAGAATTCGATGTGGTGAACTCCCTTCTGGGCTGTAGTGAACTGCACAGCTCGATCGAGGTTGGGTACTTGCAAACACTCCGCATTGAACCTCCTGATGTAGCTCCTGATCGACTTGTTCTCCCACTAGACCACATTCAGAAAGTTCACTGCAGAGTTTGAGCACTTCTTACTTGTGATGAAATGGATGGTGAACAGGTTCACAAACTGCGACCAACTCTTGGTCGAGCTCGATGGTAGGTTCCTGTACCATGACCTGGCCGTGTCCCTGAATGTCGTCGAAAAGGCCACACATAGGCTTGCTTCATTTGGTCCGACGAGTAGCATTAAGGACTAGAAACTATCGACATGGTCGTTGGGGTAAGACTTCCCGTCATACGTCTCCAGTGAAGGTGTTTTGAATCCCTGTGGCCTTGGGTTCAAGAGAATCTCTGGTGCTAGGGGGAGGGCCAACTCTACAATACTGGAGCCAGTTGTGCAGCTACTAAGCTCACTTCCTCCCTTGTCTTGTTTGCTGCTGCCAGGGGGCTGCTCTTTGCTGATGTTTGGTGCACTCTACGACGGCATTGCTTCCTCGTGGCTTCGTGGTTGGTGCTGTTCACTTCTGTGTTGTCCGGCACCTCAACTCTTGTGCACTCCCGATCTTGAATGTTGTCATGAGGTGGGAGCTAGTTTCTGTTACTTGCATCCTCACGAACGCAAACTGGCTGTTGGCTGTTGCGGGGGACCGAGGGGTCTCGATGTGAGTCCATGCCTCTTGCCCTGAGCTGCTAATTGCTGACTTGATGCTCACGGCTCTCACGCCGTGAGTGTTGCTGCTGATCGGTCCTGGATTGTCGATTGTTCTGGGGCCGATCCTTTTGGTTTTCCCCCTGGGGGGTGGTGGTGTGCGCTGACCTGCTGCCTAGTCATGTGGTGGGGTTCGGCCCCGAGGAGGGGCTGGAACCCGAGATGACCCCGCACCCCAGGGAGGAGATCGGCGCACATTCTAATGCTGCTGGTTTTGATTCCTGTTCGAAGTCAAGTTCTAGTTCTGGTTCGGTTGAAGCAGTGGAAACTACTGTTGATAGAAATAGTACTATTGGAACTAGTGAATCTGTTGCATCTGTAGCTGCATCACCCTAACGCTCTGCACCAGTTCATGAAACTGTTGTGCACCTACCCCGGGAGGAATCACGGAGGGCTCTACGACCAAGGCGGTGGTGGTCACATGAGGTAAAGGGACGTTGAGGGGCTGTGTGCTAAATGCTTGGCTTGGTGTGGTCAACACTCCTGAGATAGTAAGTAGGATAGTGAACTGTCCGACCGATACCGAGGGGAATTTGGGATTGTACGGGATTTGCTCTTGCTCCCTAGTAATGGTCATTTCAATGCTCTTCCCAGTGTTGGTGGATAATGCCATTGGTGAGGTGCTAATGGTGTAATTACAGTAGAAAATTGACTTTATTGTCACGTATCTCACAACTGGATAGTAGTTTGGACATCGGTTGCTTGGTTCGCGAGTCGAGCTGCAAGAAGAGGAAAGCTCAGAGAACCTGGGGTGGCTAACCCGGCATGATCGCTCCGATGCTTAAGTCAGTATATGGTTGTGTAAGCGAGCTGAATGCTTGAGTGCAAGAGAGCTAGTAAGCAAATAACCGCACGTACCTTGGTCTCAAGGGCTGATGCCGTTATATAGATAGGCTGCCGTGTGACTCACGAAACTCCTCCGAGATCCTCGGCCCGTGCCGTTAGGAGTCCGTTCCGCCCTAAGAGGTGGATAATGTTCTAGTCGATAAGGCCTATCATGTCCGTCCGATCCAGGCGGGATGAAGATAAGTCCTACAGTCATGCAGTGTGATCCCAAAGAGCTCGGAGATAGGTGGCATACTTATAGAAATCTGACACGTGCCACCTCGGTAAGCTAGTCAATCCTGAGCTACTTGAACCTCGGTCCTTGCCAAAGTGCCCCGAGACACCCAAGGTGGCTTGGCCTCCCAAGGTGACAGGTGGTGCTGAGATGGCATCAAGCACTGAATCATAATTTAATCAACACATCACGTACACGTATCCTCTATTGCTTAAATCGGACCAAATCACCCCTCTTCAGATTTCTAATTCCATATGAAACAAATCCCTCGATTTTATCATAAGGGAACAAAAAAACTGGCAAAGACGTTATATTTGTTTTGAGCCTGAGGTTGAGAGTTGAGGGTCAGGAAAAGATCATCGTCTGGGAAAACTCTTCTTTACGGCCACGGGACAAACTAGAGTTGAGACTTGGGAGTTTTTAAAGTTACTTTGTTGCTTTATACAATTTTATTATTAATTAAAGATGAAAGAAATGGTCAGATTGAAATTTGCCAAGTAATAAAGTCACCGCTTGAGCTTGACTACTAATCCCAGTCTAGGATTCAAAATCCTCATGTTTCAACTTTCAAACCAACCACTTTCATTTTAACACAATTGATAATTTAGCTCTGATGACCTGAATCGAGTGAATTCTATTGTCCAAACTCACACTCCGGTTCACATTTTTGTTTTGAATCCAAATTGTTGAAACTCTTGATTGAATGGATCAACAGTTTGACTGAGTATGCTAACACCAAAAAGTGTAGGGCTTGGATCTGCTACACACGAGCTGTTCCCACATCTTATATCTACGATACATTGGGAATATCTCATTTATCATTCATGGAAGATGTTCCGAATACATGATGATGATGATCTATGACTAAGAATGTGGGAACAATTGGTGGATAATAGATCTGGAGTAAAGAGGGTAATACGGGCTAGTAACATCCAAAATCACAAATGCGATCACATGAAATCAAGTGTGGCTTAAATAATTTCATAATGTCAAAACTAACCTTTATAATAATATTCAAACCATTTTACCCTTTCTTTTCTTTTTACATGGAGGAGACTGTTAGATGTATGAAAAAAAGTGAGAAGTCCAATCACAGAAAGAAATCGAGACACTCAGTAACGTTTTATCTGGATCAATTCGTTGCTTCTGGACTGCTTTTCTCGATTCTACATCCATAGAAACTCCATCCCAATTCTCAGATCTCAAAAAGAAAGATCCAAGACAACTTTCGTTGTTTCTTTTCCTTCAACTATCTCTCTCAAAATTGCAAGAAAATAATAATTTAGAAGCAAGGCAACTTCTCCTCTGCTTCGTCTTTTCTGCAACATATCCCCTTCATCAATTTGAAATTGAAGGAGAAAAGCAGAAGAACCCATCTAAGTTTTACGAGAAAAAACCAAAATAAAAGTACCATTAATTAATTGGCACAGTTAATAACAGTTAGATCTGCTGCCACAGAGTGAACAACAAAAAATAAGGAGGAAAAGCCTGCTACTTTCTTGACTACGCCTAACTGTAACTATAACATGATCGAGAAGAAACAACAAATTTCTTCAATACAAATTAGAGAATAAAGCTTCCCATATCTCTGAAAACACCTCCACTATCACTTTATGATAATGAAAGGATTTCAACGATAGAAAGCACTGCAAAAGCTGCTCGAGATCCTTTGCTGCAAATATCGGCTTTTCTATGATCATCTCCACCATGGATGTCCTAAAATCACTGTAAGGATCGATAGAACTCTTCACTACTGCAAACCTTTCTTGTAATTTGCCCTAGGTGGAAAACGTGCAAAGACCCATATCAGAATTCCTGCTCACTGCTTTTTTTCATTGAGCTCCGGCGAGAATTCCTCTTGTTCAGGCGATGAGACTCGGAGGAATCAGAAGAGAAGCTCCAAGAAGAGAAGAACGTTTTCGTCTTGTCTTCTATTTCGTCGTCACAAGTGTTCTTTTCTCCAATGACGATGGGATTAAAAACATTTCTAATGGCAGCAAATGCTCACTGTTCCAGCGATATTTTCCCAATATAAAATGGTGAAAATCTTCATATGATGCTCCCGGGTGATGTTTTTTCCTTGATTTTAGCTTTTCCAGCCGTGTATTCGGATTATCAGCACTGGCAGGGAGAATTGTGCTCTACGGAAGGTTAGAATAGCGAATAGTGATTCATACTCACAAAGAAAGGTTATTGTAGTGGAGGTTATGTACGTTATCAGTTATTTACATCTTTTTAGCACCAAGTGACGGTAAATTAACACTTGAAATTTCGAGTACTGGATAGTCATTTTAAATGTTGGGATCAAATTGTCAATCAAGCCAAAGTATAAAGTAATGATTGGAAATTTTCCCTTTTTTTTATTAAACAATTTTAAAGTCTTCAAATGACTTAGTGCACTGTGCATAAGGATGGCAATTTTTCCGTCCTTGACGGATACCCGAGCTCCCTGACCCAATGGGGTCAGGTACTGGGAGTGCTTTGGCAGGGTCGGGGTTGGGGATGAGGCTAAAATTGAATTCTCGATCGGGTTTGGAGATGGGGATGGGAAATGCAATCCCTGCACCACCTCGGCCCCAATTAATATATATATATATTGATTAATAAATAAGAATTTCAATTAACAATTAATTAAACACAATTACACAAATTCTCAAGAATCTCTTGTCTCTCTTCTACTACCCCTGACAAACAAAGAAGAAAGAAAAGAGGTGGCGGCTAAAACTCAAAACCCTAGTACCCTATTCTTCTTCCATTCTTCCTTCTTTGTCTATCATCTTCAGACTTTAGTAATCAGTAGTCACCAATTGCCGTCGCCAGTCGGTACTCTCTCTCTCAGGTGAGGCAACGTCGTTGCCCGTTAGTAATTAGTAGTTGCCAATTGTTGTCGCCCGTTAGTACTCTCTCTCTCTTTCTCTCAACTCAGTGGTTTTGATTTCTGATTTTTGAAATCTTAAACAGATTATAGATGTGAGATGTTAAAGATATAAAACTTTGCAACTTGCAAGTCTAAAACTTTCTCTCGACTCAGTGCTTTTGATTTCTGATTTGTGTAATTAGGGAACTCAAAAGCAATCGGAGATTCGGGTCTTTGACGGGAAACTCATCCTCGTGGGGATTGGAGATGAAGGAACATTTCTTCCCCGATAGGGATCAAAAACGGAGATAGAGGATGATTTAGAAATCGGGGATGGAGAATGTAATCCCCACCCGTTGCCATTCCTAACTGTGCACCTGCACCCCCAATAGAGACCGGATCTGCTCCTCACACTGGGCGCCTCACACTGACCTCACAGGCACAGATCGGTCAATTATTAACAACCATTTATAGGTTACACTTGCACACTCCACACTCCACTAAGCTAAGCTCCAATGAAATATCATTTTGTGGATGTGAAATCTCGAATATCAGCTTTTCGTAGCAAAGCATTCATGATAGAAATATTCTTTATTACAAAATTACAATTTTCTTTGCCAGCATAGAATCAACATTAAATGGCTTGTACACCTCCTTTACAGTTCCCACCACCTGATACGTACAAGGCACTACTCTCTCTCTCTCTCTCTCCGCAGTTTAACCAGTATATTACAAAGGTGATCGGGAATTCAAAAATGGAAGAAAAAAAAATGACGTGGGTTTTCTGTGAATGTCTATAATTTCTGTTTGTGGATCTTATGTATCTGTATTTACACGCAGGACCGCCATATCCTTCCCTCCAAAGAAATAACAATGATAGAGATGTCGTCATGGTACCGACGGCGATCCCCCTGTGGTATTTCAAGCAATTCGTGGAAGTCCATACCTGCAGCAATTCACCAATGGATGAATGAATATCAAAATTCTAGTTTGTCACTCGCTATACATATATTTATTTCATTTTCCGCATCTTTATCGACTCTGAGCAAGAGATGAAGTTGGAAGTAAAGTAATTAATTACCAGCTTTCTTTGCTGCACGGAAAAGGGCTTCTTCCACAAGATGTTGTGCGGGATCCCCATCAGGCGATGAAGCAATGAAACGTTCAACTTGAGACACAGCTTCTTCATTGGTAAAGTATTGGTAGAGTCCGTCGGATGACAATATCAAAAATCTGTCTCTACTGCCCAGTCTATGGTGGTAGAGAGATGGAGTGCAGGTGATATAAGGGGATGTTCCTACATACTCTATTCTGAACATCTCCAGAAGTGCATTGTTCCATTTGGGCTGCCAGAAGGAAGAATTGAAATTGATTCAAATCTTAAATTTTAATGGGCAGAAAGAAAGAAATATTCCTTTGGTTATTCGTGTCCCATTCATTCGGGAAATAATGCGATCGAATACCTGTTTCAGAAATCCAGCCCCAAATGCTCGTGTAACCTTCAATGAGCCTTTCACGCGGTCACTTGTCACAGCTAAAGCATCATCTGGGTGTTCCTTCTTTATTCTCTGAACTTCCTGAATGGCAACAAGAAACAAGTTATGCTTTGCTACTAATAAATCTACACAGGTAACAAGCTAATAATATGGAAAAAAGAATGAGATAAGATCTGATGTCAACAGAGTTGCTAGCTAGACTACTGTTTAATTAAAGTGAGACGATTGGATTTTTTTCTTCTTCTTCTTCTTCTATTGTTTTCAAACTAAAAGGAAGCCGAAGGTGGAGGACTTTACCTCTTCGACACAGGTACTATGGTCCATGGTAAGCTGAATAGCAGCTAAGTTGGGTAAGGTGTCGCACCGATCACCGTCAAATGCTTCAAGATCATACAAAGTTTCCTCCTTGATTCGCTCCAGGTCCTGGCGAGCTTTTCCGAGGCAAAGGTCAGGCTCTGCTTTCTGAGCTAAGACCGCTCGACTGTCTCCCACATTCATCAAGTAGACATCTTCTCCCTTCATTAGCATCACCAATACACATGAACCCATCAACGCCAACTCTGGATTTTCCATTACCATCATATCCGCAACCTCTAAATAGGCTTCCTCCGTCTTCCTCAAAGCCTGAGAAAGAGCTTTCAAGACATCTGAGAGGTTAATGGTCGACGACCCTTGAGAACTGGAGCGTGTTAACTGTTCCTTCAACCTCCTATCAAGCTCCAATCTCTCTCTGTCCCATTTACACTTCCATCTCCTCTGACTCTCCTCCCACTTCTTGGTTGCCCCTTTAAACCTCTGCTTCGAGTTCCTGCCACGATTCCTCTTCGTATTCGTATTAAGATCCCCAGTAGCAGAGGAAAATGGATAACAATAATTCTCCGTCTCGACATACTGAAAACAATTTTCATCCATACGATTTGTTGTCCTTGTGTTATCAGAGTAACCGGACTGGCATGAACCATTTTCCAAATTAAGATCGGTGTCCACGGGAACAAGGTTGGTTGTGGCGGAGGAGGGGGTGGTGGTGGACGACGATTCATATTTGTCATCCCATAGCAACCCTTTGAGCTCCTTGTGGACAGCAGAATAGAGATTGGAGAGAAGATAATCAGGGGCATCAGGGCCATTAAATCCATCATAAATTCCGACGAAAACCCACCCGTGTTCCTCGGATATCACAACATGGACTCGATCTTCCCCAGCCTTCCCTTGAGCCCATTGAAGATTCTGGCTTTGAAAAGAGTAATCTTCATCCGAGCTCCCATCACTGCTCAAATTAGTGCTACTGACCACCGTGAGGTTTTCCCCGTTCTTGTCCGACCCAACAACCCAATCCGATTCCTTAACAGAGACGACCCCCTTTACCGGAGCAACCATAGCGTTCTTTCCAACGCGAGCGATCGTCTTCGTGATCTTCTGGCGGAGAACGCGAATTAAAGACTCCCTCTTGGATCTGGGTCTAAGCGCATAACCCCCGTGAGAGAAGCTCCTCTGGAATTGATCAAACCCCTTCTCCAGAGGACCCGAAAACATTCCACGATCAAGGGGCCCTGACATGAAGCCTCTCACGATCGGACCGGATAAGAATCCCCTCTCCAGCGGTCCAGAGCCCATAATTCCCCCGAAATTTCCGGACAATGGACCGGAATTCATCAAGTACCGGGGAACGGGTTGCAGGGGAATGGAAGCAAAGGAGGTAGAACCCTCAAAAGCGGCAGCTCGATCAATATTATCATAGGAATAGAGATCAACAAAAGCAGTAGAGAGAGGAGTAGACGTGTTGGCACTTACAGAAGCACCGGAGATGGAACGGAACGTGGTGGCCTCTTCAGAGTGAACCTTGGACGAGGAGAGACGAGAAGGATCGGGACGAACGTAACAGAAGGAGTGGCCAAGGCCTTCATCGAGAGGCTCTGATATAACGAGAGCTATGTCGTGACTGCGGCGAACTCCTCTGGCACCAGAGAAGCAGACGCCGAGCTTCCCACAACCGTTACCCATCAAAGAAAACCAATAAGAAATGGAATTTCAGGCGTTACAACCCCTAGAACCTATATATCATGGCCGATTTGACTTTTTGAGTGGGGATCTTGAAAATACTTTTTTTTTTAATTTATAAGTTAAGCTGTTAATATTTATATATTATTTTAATAAGGTTTTGGCGTTTTTCTTTCTGCGGAGGCGTTGACTAATTGATGTTTTCTTCCTTGCGAATGAAAAAAATCTGGTTTGTCAGTTGGGGTAAAGTGAAGCTAAAGGAAGGAGCAATAAATTTCGGTGGAAATTGGATTCAAACCAGAGCACCAAAATCCAACCCTCCTTAAAGGGAGTGCCAACGGATCCAGCCATTCGATTGGATTAGAGGTGGAAACCAGATCATCAATGAAAATCAAATTGACACGTGGCCACCGTAGCCAACTAGTCATGGATGATTAATTCGAGAGGCTAAAGCGTTTAGGTCCTGAAATAAACTTTTTTTTTTTGTTTTTGTCCTTTGTTTTTCTTGCCTAGAAGAACAATAGAGGGATTATTATTTTGGTTGCTTTTATGGTTATTTATTTATTTAGGGGGGTTGGTTCATTGCCATTGGTTGTGACTTAATAATAATAATAATACTAATAATGACCACCGCACCGCGTGAGCTTTTTGGAGTAATAAGACGGAAATACCCCTAGATCGGTTGACTAGAAGGGGAAGCCCTCCGCCCTCCGCCCTCAGTGTCAGTACAGAGTACGTGACCCCTCAGAAAGGCACGGATCCGCAGGCCCCTGGGCCAAACATTGACCTAACTGCGTTGACGGAAATTAAAAGTAAGACGGGTTACGGGTAGTAGTAGTAGACTAATGAGTGGTCGTGGTGGGGGTGGGTTCCCACTTCCCACTAATGAATTGAATTGGGAATTTGGTTTGGGGATGGAGGAGTTGGGCCCCCCACCGCCAGCCCAAACGACTACTATTAACTACACCACAGTTGCTACTTCCACTGCGCTTTTCTTTTTGTCTAATAAATAATACCATCGCTTTGCTCCCCAACTTTTTTTAACGTTTGAACCTGATCGCATATCGTCTAGACAGGACAGAAGATGATGATGACCGCGTTTGAAAGTTTGGACGGTCAAGATTCAATCCTATCTATATCCCCTACTTAATTGATTTATGAGGCTGACTCGACAACAAGGGTATTCCCCATTCCGTATTAGGTATGAGGAAGCAAGTAAATATTCCATACATATATGTATGGGTGCCTTGACATGCTGTAAAAGAAAACTAATCTTACGGTTGCAAACGTGGAAAGGCCTCAGCCCTCAGAGAGGGGGATATGATCCTCCTGCTCAGTGCTCACATTAATTTACTATGTACAGTTGCAGTTATAGTTGCATTAATGAGAGGGAGCTAACACACTTGACTTGTACAAATCCACTCCCTATCCCAAGTATGCAACCCACAAGCCACATCAGTCATAATAAAGTGAAACATGGAGCAATAATGCAATATAAAGTATTAAACGCAAGCCATGTGGCAGTTGAATTCGTCCATCCATTCATTCAATGACTCATCAAACAGCCAGACACAGAGAGAGAGGAGAGCAGAGATGACACTAATGTAGGATAGATATATAATTGCATCCAACACTAATGGATCGGATGGGGACAATGATGTCTCACACTTACCTCGTTTACGTATCTCATAAATATAACTCCTTATTATATTAACTATTCATGTAAAAGTTCTCATCAATACAATACACTCATGTATTTAATCAATAAAATATGTCAACATTGGGGAGAAATTTTCCTAAACCACCATCCATCTCCACAATCAATTTGCTCGACCTTTTTTTCTTCCCTTTTATTATATCTCCCACCAGGCACCAGCTCATACTTTTCACTATAGGTGTTTTTTGTTGTTTCTTATTTTAAGAGGGGATAAATTGGTCAACAACAAGATTTTAAGGACTTATGGAAAATATATTTACTTGTAAAAGTGATACCCATTTCTTAAGTGGATAAATAATTTTTTTATTTTGAGGGAAAATTGTCAATATTTGGATGGGACAAAATTGTCCATTTTAATAGTGGCTTTTTATGGCTAAAACAGTCATTGTTTTATTTACCTGTGAAAAAAAGAATATGAGTAAATAACCTCCCCTAACGCGAACAGGGCCAATATATGATTGCTAATATTAGGGCTGCAAATAAGTCCGTTTAGGCTATATTTGGAAACGATGCAAAAATGTGTGAATGCAAATATGTAGAGTATAAAACAATTCATATAAATTGCAAAGTTTGGTTAGTTTTGCATTGACAAATTTACCTTCTTACCAAACAGACTTTTAATCGAAAACAGATAACATAAGAATTCKTATTCAATTTATGAATCGTAATTTTGTAATTAACTGAACAAATAGAACTAGAATATTCATTGGMGGAGGTATGACATAAATGGGCCAAACGGGAATCTTTGGAAAAAGATCTTTTAGATCTCTTTCCTTTTTTTTTTTTTACAATTCACTAATATCGTAATTCTTTTTGTTACTACTCTAGATCGTATATTTTGTATTTGTATCTATTATGTTACCAAAATAGATTATCTTAAGCCACACATACATTGCGTTGATGCAAACACGAATTCCAATAAAGCATATACTTTTTTTTATCAAAAGCCCACTTGAATGCAAATTTACTTTTTTTTTATTGATGCACTTTTACATCTTATTATCAATGCAAATATGCGACGGTTCGTCATTTGTCAATACAAAAATGTAATGTTTCCAAATACAAGCAAAAGTGAAGCAGAATGCAAATTTACTCTAGACCGGGATTTACACTCCATATGCATTGTTTTCAAATGCATCATTAAGATCTAAATAGAATCTGAATTCGATTGGTAAGAGACGGTCTAATGAATCAAATTGAATTGGAAAAGTTGATTCATGTATTTAAAGGATCAAATTCAAATATACCGTGATTCGGTCCATTAGTTGTGAAATATTATATATTATTTATATATATTCTATATATTATTTGTATAACTATATATTATATATTATATATTTTAATATATTATTTATATTATGTGATCAAGCTTTTTTAGTACAATTTAAATTGAGCCCGATATCTGATAAAGTATTTGAATTTGAATTCAAATCAAAATCTTGAAAATACAATGGATTCGTTTGCAGCACTAGTTAATATATTATAGTTTAAACCTCCCTAGTCCCGTTATGTTTATATTAATATTATGACTTCCCTTCACTTCTCAAAATAGACTAATACATCCTTTATTGGATTATTCCATCAAACAAAAACCTCCCCTCCATCAAGATTGCATTAAAACCCAATTACATGTAACCTTAGGCTCAGTTTGAAAAGGAAACAAAGACAAATATGTACAGTATAAATTATTTATAAAACAATACAAAATACAAGGTTTTACACTCTACATATTTGAATTTGTACTCCTTTTAAACTGAGCCTTATGATCCATTCAGGAGTACAAATTATTGTAAATAAGTAGAGTGCAAAACCTTGTATTTTGTATTATTCTGTATGCATTTGTACTATACATATTTGTATTTGTGCTCCTTCCAAACTGAGCCTTAAGTGCTATTCAAAAATCCAAAATTTCCCTTCAGGGTTGCTTTAAATACTTTCTCTCGCAGACTCACTAGCAGAGAAGACTCCCCGGCATCCAATTGAGTGCTGCAAATATGGGCATTGTTTAGCAGAGAGAATCCTCTATATCAATTAGAGACTTCAGACTTCTCCTTGCCAACAATAGAGGGGCCATTGCCTTTTGGGAGTCACTGTCATTGCCAATGTAGAAGATATTTAGGTCTTGTTTTCTGTTTAGATTTTGTGAAAATCAAAATCAAAATAGTATAATATGAAAGTTATTAATGTGAGTTGATCGGATCATATTTTGTAGATTTCTAGTTAACCAGTCTCTTAACGTAAAGCGATCTGTACTATATGCGAAGATATTTATGCATCTTGGAATCTATGTAAGCAGTGTACTCAGCACAAGACAGAAAACAGGAGAAAAAACGCAAACGACAAATAAAAACAAAAAAAAAAGAAAACTAACACAAAGAAACAACAACCCATGCACTACGAGGGATCAAAACAAGAAGACAAAGCAGTCATCAGATGGACATCTAAGGCCTCCTAAATATAGCTCGGAGTCAGAGGAGAGCAGAACATAGATCCTCAACTTCAAGGCCTCTCAAACTAGCTGAGGCCAAAATATGAGTCGGCACACATACGCTTCCCTTCTAACAAATTGAAACTCAAAAGAGGAGCCACAGAGCTTACAAATGTCTTCAATAACAGGCGAGTAATCGAAGAACCTGCTTGAAGAGTTTTAACTGCAAACAACATTCACGAATTGCAAAAAGTTCGACATAAACTGGGGAGGCAGCTCTTCAAGCCCCCGCTTTACTCACAAAAAATGAAATCACAATCCAGTATAAAAACAAAACCAAAGCCACCTAAACCAAAATTTACAAAACTTCCATCTGTGTCTGTCTTAACAAAACCTGATTTTGGAAGCTGGGGAGACAATCCTATTGAGCCTTGTTGGGAGGCTTTCTTCACTTCCATCATCATCCTGTTGGCAAGAGTGATAGATTAGAGACATTAGGATTGAGACTAATATCATTAAAGATAAAAGTCATTTCTTGCTTTCCAAATATGCCATGACATAGTAGCAGAAAATTCTAATATTTTGATATTACCTCTCTCTTGCTTTGGGAATTGGGATATGATATTACCACAATGCTCCAACCACCACTTCCATTTTCCACCACCACCCAGCAATCAAGGCAAAGGATGGAGTATCATTAAAGAAAATATTTAAATTACAGTCAAACCAGGTAGCTCTGGCATGATCATAGTGTAACAAGGCATGGGTAATGGATTCAGCTTCCTTGTGACAGAGAGGATTGATTGTCCAAAGCCATCCCACAATGAGAGAGAGAACATCCAACACAGAAATACTATTCAAGCAACATTTCTAGATGAAAACTTTAATTTTTGGAGGGACTTT